TTTTGGTCAATGACATGAGACAAAGTATATGTGAACTGCTGTATGAAAAGTGAATTTACTCTGTAAATCTTCACCCAAATCCTAATAAAAAAAAAAAAAAGACTTGTGTGAAAGAGCAAAGATGTCACTTTTACAACTAAGGTGTGCCTGACCCAAGTCATGTATTTTCAACCACCCCCTGTGCTTGGAAAGCTAGATAATGAATAAGGAAGACCAAAGAATAACTGATGCCTTTGAATTATGGTGTTGGTGAAGAATATTGAATATACAATGGACTATTAGAAAAACAAACAAATCTTGGAAAACATGCAGCTGGAATGGTGATCTCATCTTGTGTACTTTGGTCATATTATCCTAAGAGACCATTCCCTGGAGGACATAATGCTTCGTAAAGTACAGGGTCAGGGAAAAAGAGGAAGACCCTCAATGAGATGGATTGGCACAATGACTGCAACAATGAGCTCAAATAGCAATGATTATGAGGGTGGTGCAGGACCAAGCAGTGTTTCATTCTGTTTTACACAGGGTTGCTGTGAGTTGGAACCACGGCACCCAACAACATCCCATTTTAGAGATGGGAAAAAACAGCATTGAACGTCATAAGTTAGTTTTTCTGTATGGTTTTAAATTTTTTGTTTTTTTGGGGGGTTGGCTCAGGCAAGGCAAAAGAGTAAAAGAATGTGGACTCAACATGACAACACCGCCAAAGTATTGCAGCGGAAGTCTCACCATCCTGCTTCTAAGGAGCATTCCAGCTGTACTTCTTCCAAGACAATGGTATCTCTTCCTCAAATATTTTTTTAGCTTTGAACTTTAGGTTGTGGCGATTAAAATAGACTATTAATCCTCACCTGCCGGTTTCAAGGGTGTGTTGCAATAATTAAATAAGCTAATGTATGTGAATAAAACATTTTGCCCTTCGGATAGTTTCACAAACGCTACGCGGTGATAAGGGTTATCGAGAAAAGGAAAAGAGAGAGAGAGAAAGAAATAAAAAGAAACTTGTTAAACCATTACTCAGTATTGCGACAGCGCGGGTATATTTGACCCTCTGAGGCTCCCGTAGTACATCCTGTTTTGAAAATCAAGGTGGTGTCGCCTGCCGGGAGGCCCATGTGCTATTTCCGGTTGCGTTCGGATGCACATTTTTAAACCTTAGCGGAGACGAAGTAGAGGCTTTCTCTTGTGTGGATTTTCTGAGCCAGTATGTCCAGCAGAAACAACAACAAGCTACCCAGCAACCTCCCTCAGTTACAGAATCTGATCAAGCGGGACCCGCCGGCCTACATCGAAGAGGTGCGATCGGCGTGGCAGATGCCGGAGAGCCGGGCGGGAATGATTGAGACATAGGCGGAGAAAGACAGAGTGGAGCTTTGGTTCTGTTTCGCAGCGGCACCTCCTGTTCAGTTCAGCAGTCCTGTGGGAGGAGAAAAGGGATTGTGGAAGCAACGTGGTTTAGGGTTTGTTTCCCCACTAGTTGGAATTCTGCGGTTTCTTTGGGTTTTCATAGCTTCTGTGTTGTGGTTGTGTGCCGTCGAGTCGATGGCGACTTAGCGACCCCAAGTGACAGAACTGCCTGTAGTGTTTTCTAGGCTGTAACCAAAAGGTTGTCGGGAGTAAAGACCTGGCACTCTGCTCTCCATAAAGATTCACTCAGCTAAAAAACTCGCTGTCGTCGAGTCGAATCTGACTCATAGCGACCCTTCCTTGGGTATCTGAGGCTGTATCTCTACGGAAGTAGATTGCTTAGTTTTTCCTCCGAGGATAGGCTGGTGGGTTTGATTACAGACTAGAAAACCCTATGGGGAAGTTCACCTCTGTCATGTAGGGTCGCAGTGAGTTGGAATTAACTCCACGGGCCCCACCATCAACACATCAGCAGCATTTACAGGATCACCGGTTCTTTCTCTCACGGAGCTGCTGGTGAGTTCCAACTTTAAGGTTAGCTGCCAAGCGCTTAACCATTGCACCACCAGGGCTCCTTTTATGCTTTCTGTAGACCTTGCCAAAACTGCCACTTTAAAAACCTCACTGTCTAAGGGCTTCTCTTCCCATCTCACAGAGATGGAGGGATAGATGCCTGCCCTCAACCTCCAACTTCCATGCAGATTTCTCTGCCTTTTCATGTCAGAAAACCCTAGCTTGAATTATTATATTAGGTAATACTTGCTAAATTCTTTCCAAGGTGTTTCTGAGAATACGTTCTGTGCACCCACTTGGCTGTGGAGCAGGTATTCTCAAGTGTAAGAGAAATAGACTCAGGAACTTAGCATATTTAATTAAGCCCTATTCAGACACTGGAAATTGTCAGGGACTGAATGCCAGAATTTGCTTGGGGAAAAGATGAGGTTGAAAAATTAGAACTGGCCCAGATTGTGAGGGACTTTATATATTGACCTCATACACATTGTGAAAGGTCACTAAGGGTGTTTAAGCTGAGAAGTGACAGAATGAAAGTGATGGTTTTGATGTATAAATCTGGTATGTGCTTTCTTCAGACACCCATTTGTAGCTTTAAGAGAGGTACGTCTCAGCTTTTGCTGCAATTACTTGTTTATGCTTTCACTAGATTGTGATTTCTCCAGTGGCTAACACTGTTTTTTCACTTTCCCGCGCCCCAGAGGTAAGGGTTGTAGTGGTTTAGGTCATCAGTGGAGAGAGCCTTGCTAAGGATCAAGGCAGTGGAAATAGTGAGGAAGAAATACAAGATATTAAACAGTATGAGCAAGGCTTTGAGATATGTAAAATACTATACAGCCATCGTCAAAGTAGTAAGTTGAGAGGCCATATAGTGCTGTATTTAACGACAGTGGTTTTAGAATTACCTTAAATCCTGGCTGTGCTATTCAACAATTGTGTAACCTAGACAGGCTAATCACTTAGTCTGTGTGTCTATTTTAATAGGTAAAAGCAGGAGGTAATACCTAGCTCAGGAGCTCTGGTAGCGTAGTGCCTAAGGCACTTGACTGCTAACCAGAAGGCTGGTGGTGCTAACCAGCCACTCCTTGAAAGGAAGATGGGGCAATCTACTAACGTAGCGATACTGCCTTGGAAACCCAAGGAGGGGTCGCTATGGGTCAGGTCCGACTCAACGGCACATAACAACAACAACAATACCTAGCTCAGAGGATTGCTTTTTTATTCACTTAACACAAATGTGTACAAATAGACGTATATAGCAGCCAGTGCCTGTCAATATAATTCTGTTGTTCTTGTTCTAGACACTGCAAATACAGTGATAACCAATAAGACAGGTAGGAGGGCCTTACTATCTTGCACTTATATTTTAGTGAGTGTAGAGTTACAATGCTAGGGACTGTGAAGAAAAAGAAAAACAACTGAATGGAAATCTGTTAAGAGTTGGAGGCTGTTGATTTACATCCCATGAACAAAAAACACTTCTCTTTGATGATATTTAGCCAGACAAATCAAGAGCAGTCTAGACAGAGGGAGTAAGGAAGCACAGAAGCTCCTGGTGGAAAAGAAACAGGCAGCCAGTATGGCTAAGGCTCTTTAGTGAGCATAAAAGAGGGCAGTGGGAGATGATGTGGAGAATGCAGGTAGGGGTCAGATCATACAGGCCATGGTGAGTGGTTTATATTTTACTCAGAGTGCACTGTTGTTAGGTCCCATTGAGTTGACTGCAACTCAGCAATCTGTATAATAGAATGAAACACTGACTGGTCCTGTGCCATCCTCACAGTCATTGCCATGCTTGAGCCCATCGTCACAGCCACTATTTCAATCCATTTTGTTGAGGGTCTTCCCCTTTTTTGCTGACCCTCTACTTTACCAAGCATGAATATCCTACTCTAGGGATTGGTCCCTTCTGGCAACATGACCAAAGTACGAGAGACAAAGTCTTTCCATTCTCACTTCTAAGGAGCATTTCAGCTCTACTACGTCCAAGACATATTTGTTCCTTCTAGCAGTCTATGGTACATTCTTCGCCAACCCCATGTTTCTAATGCATCACTTCTTACTTGCTCTTCCTTACTCATCTAGCTCTCACATGCATATGAAGCTATTGAAAATACCATGGCTTGAGTCAGGCACACTTTAGTTTTCAAAGTGACATCTTTGCTCTTTAACACTTTAAAGGGGTCTTTTGCAACAGATTTTCCCAGTGCAATACATCATTTGATTTCTTGACTGCTGCTCTCATGGGCATGGATGGTGGATCCAAGAACAATGAAATCCTTGATAGATTTTTCTCTATTATCATGATGTTGCTTTTTGATCCAGTTGTGAGGTTTTTGTTTTCTTTATGTTGAGGTGTAATCCATACTGAAGACTGTAGTTTGATCTTCATCAGTAAGTACTTCAAGTCCTTTTGCTTTCAGCAAGCAAAATTGTATCATCTGCGTATCACAGATTGTTGATGTGTCTTCCTCCAGTCCAGACACTGCGTTCTTGTTATAGTTCAGCTTCTGGGATTATTTGCCCAGCATACTGATTAAATAACTGTGGTGAAAACATTCAGCCCTGATGTACACCTTTCCTGATTTTAAACCATGCAGTATCTGCTTGTTGTGTTTAAACAACTGCCTCTTGGAATGTATACAGGTTCCTCGTGAGCACAATTAAGTGTTCTGGAACTCCCATTCTTTGCAGTGTGATCCATAATTTGTTATGATGCACACAGACAAATGCCTTTGCATAGTCAATAAAACATGAGTAAACATCTTTCTGGTATTCTTTGCTTTTAGCCAAGATTCATCTGACATTAGCAATGATATCCCTTGTTGCATGTCCCCTTCTGAATTTGGCTTGAATTTCTGGCAGTTCCCTGTCAGTATACTGTTGCAACTGTTTTTGAATTATCTTCAGCAAAATTTTACTTGTATGTGATATTAATGATACTGCTTGATAATTTCCACATACTTTTGGATCAGCTTTCTTTGGAATAGGCACAGATACGGATCTCTTCCTGTTGAGTGCAATGGGAAGCCATTGAAGAGTTTTAGTGATCTGGTTTCTGTTTTTTAAAATTTACTCTGGGGGTTACATATAGAAAGGATTATGGAGGAGCAAGACTGGAAGCATGGTTAATAATGGCTGTCGGCATAGTCCAGGCAACAGTTAGTGGTACCACTAGGACTATGAGTAGAAGTGAAGAGAAGTGGACAGATTGGGACTAACTCTCGATGGTAGTAAAACAGGTAGGACTTCCTGGTGGAGTGAAGGTGGAGGATGAGAGAAAAAAAGGAATGAAAACTGAATCAGCCTCTTTATTTCAACATCTGGGTAGATGACAGCGCTATTTATTGAGGTTCATTCATTCAACAAATGTTATAGTGTATCTGTTATGTGCTAAGCACTGAATTACAGTGGTGAACTGTACAGGTAAAAATCTTATCCTCCTTAAGTCACATTTTAGAAGGAGGCATAAAAAAACATAAAGTATGTCAAATGATATGGAAAAAGCAAAGTAGGGAAGTACTAAGGAGGAGGAGGGTGTTACGATTTTAAATGGGACAGTCAGTGGAGACTTTGAGGAGCAAACTGAGGGAGGTAAGGGAGAGCTCTGCAGATACCTGGGAAAGAGCAATCTAGGCCAGGGGAACAGCAGATATAAAGACCCTGGCACAGGAACATACCTGATAGCTTTGTGGAACATTAAAGAGGGCATTATGGCTGGAAATGTGGGACCAGGAACGGGGAAAGTAATAGAAAGGAAGAGGGGTCAGGTCTTGTAGAACCAGGCTTTTTTCAAAGAGCTTTGGGTTTTACGGAATGAGATAGGAAGTTTTTAGAGGGTTTTGACCAGAAGAATGGAATACTTAACTCACCTTGTATGAGAACAGGATTACTGTAGGTGCCTCTTTTGGGAGACTGTAGGACAAAAAAGATAGACGCAGAGACACCAGTTAGGAGGCGATTGTAATTATCCAAGCAAGAGATGATGGTGGCTTGGACCAGGATGGAAACAGTGGAAGTGGTGAGAAATGATTAAATTCCCTGGGGAAGCCCAGTGTTTAGACATTTTTGTGTTGCTGAGCAGCCAGCAAAGCTGCAAGAAAACCAGGTGGTGTCCGGGAAGATGTCTCCAGGAGAGAGGAGAGACCCAACAGAGTCAAATGCTGATGAGTCATATAAAATAAACATTAAAAACTGATCATTAAATTAATAACATGGATGTTATTGGTTACCCTAATATGAGCAATTTGATAAAAGCCTTGAGCCCCAGGCTTAGAGGTGAGGAGAGACAACGCAGGGACGCCAGAGTAGCAGGCCGGAAGAGCGGGAGAAAGGGGATAAAAGCCTTGAACCTGGACAGAAGAGCAGTCAGCCCCAGGGTTACAAGTGAGGAGAGACAACTCAGGGACGCCCAGAGTAGCAGGCCAGAAGAGCAGGAGAAAGGGGATAAAAGCCTTGAACCCAGACGGAAGAGCAGTCAGCCCCAGGGATACAGGTGAGGAGAGACAACTCAGGGACGTCCGAAGAAGCAGGCCAGAAGAGCAGGAGAAAGGGGATTAAAAGCCAGGAAGCCAGACAGAGGAACAGTCAGCCAGGTGGGGATGACACAAGAGGTCTCCA